CTGCATTGCCTGCAGTTAAGCAGCCCAACTTATCAAGTGAAAACATGGATGCCAACTAAGTATTAAGAATTCCATTTAGGGTGGAGGAGTGGGGGGGGGACATGAAATTTAAAAACACAAACCTCTTTTTCGGCCTCATCTGAAGTGGCATGGGCAGTATGGCCCTCTTGCCAGAGGAACTCAAGTGTTCTGATGAATGGTTTTGTACGCATCTCCCATCTTGTGACATTTGCCCACTATAGCACATTAAGTAACATAAAAGAAACTCAAAGAAAAAACCACAAAAAAGGTAACAATAAGTGATGTGATGAGAGAAACCTGGTTGATCATGAGAGGAAGATCACGGTAACTATGAATCCACTGAGTAAACATATGATTCACAATAGTTTCACTTGTAGGTCGAACCTGCCAGAACCTCAAGAAAGTGTACAGTCAAACCCAATGCTAATGTTAACAACAAGCCAATAAGGTTCCACAAGTAGGATCTAGAGAGGGTTAGGATGGGTGTGCAAGGACGTTACCCCACCTATAAAGGTATGAGGTTGTTTCTCAAAGACCAACTCAAAAAATATTCAAAAAAGAATTTTAAAAAAATCATATCTAAAATGATGATGAATAAAGGTAAAAAACGGAATATAGAAAGAATGATTGAAAACAACTTAATGGCACACAAAAAACAAACTTCTACAAAGGCACCCCATTACAACCCTCGAAGTCAAACTATCTTACATAATTAATCTTCAACCTTCAAACACTACTTATGTAGGGTCATGTACTCAGTTAATTACAGAAACAACATATAATCTCTAATCACCTCACTCCGCACTCCAACTTGCGAGTCATATACTAAAACTTTACCCGCATGATGATTGAATGGCTACTCTCAAGAGATGCTACAAATTGTCGGAGAAAATAATTACAGAGTATTGCATTCTCTCTTTGTCCTCCAAGCAAACCAACGCTTTGACTTCGCGGGGTTTAAGAAAGGTGTTGAAAAGTGTGAAGTTGGAATTTTTTTAGAATAGAGAGAAATGTTGTGAGCCGTACATTCCTTTTTTAAATAGGAAATAGGAGAAGTATACAATTAAGTTTGAAATAGACAAAATAAAAAGTGTAAATTTGTTTTGGGGACGGGAGTATAAAAGTATAGAGAGGGGGTGGATGCTTACAACAAGCTTTTCTTCAAGTTCTTTCCCACCTCCAATGGTTACAAGAGCTAATTCAGGACTAAATCCTTCAACATGGCTCGCTTCTTTCTCAATGAAGGAATATGGTATAAGCTGCCATTACAAATAAAAAAAACACGTAATTGAAAGTACAGCCACAACCAAACTAAAATTGGAATAAACTAAGCATAAATAATCAATATAAACATCCTCAGTCAACAATTGGAATATGGCCAATCAAATATTACATAGTAAATGCATATACATTTTCTCGAAGATCACTAGTCTAGTACAGTAGTACACACTACATTGGTATAACGGTATAGGCTATATTGCTACTAAATTTCATCTCGAAAGTTCAGAACTTAGCGAATATCCCATATGCATCACATGGAAATTCTGCATGTCACAAGAATCTATCAGTATCCGAAAAATCATATACTCTCTCTATCTGATGATTATGTTTCTTCTTTCCTATTTGGACCCTCCAAAAATTGTGTTCCATTTCCCTTTTCAAGTAAGAGTTACTCCATATATGAATCACCTTCTTTATCTATTATAAACAAATTTAAACCACATTATTTTCACTTTATTAAGAGGCTGTCAAGTAAACCAGTTAGGTAACTCTACCTGTGGAAAATACATATTGCTATGGCCAGTTTCCTTAAATTTCACATTTAAGTATTCCTGCATTATTTCAACAAAGAACAAACCTTAATCAGCTCAAACCATTCACATTAAAATCATCTCTCTCTCCCTATGGAGAGATTGAAGCCCCTGGGAGAAAGTGAACCAAAATGAAAGATAGTACCTGGATGGCCTCCCAAATTGCGTAACCGTAGGGCCGGATAACCATAGTGCCCCGAACCGGACCGTAATCGGCCAGCTCCGCATTGGCTATGACATCTAAATACCAGGCGTTGAAGTCCTGGGACCTGGGAGTGATTACTCGTTCCTTTTCCTTACCCTGGACTATGGGGGGCTTATGGTCTTGAGTTTCGGAAGGGATCCCCTTCTCGGGGCTGCTCTGTACCGAAAAATTGGGCGAGGAGAAACGCCGTCTAGGCTGGCTGAAGTGAGATGGACACCGGGAAAGTAACGGAAAGCATCTGGCGGCCGCAGTGGCGGCGGAGGATGGGGAAAAGAAGATTGAACTGAGGGCAGGCAGTCTCAGAGCCCCCATTGATGTGGATGGCAATTGTGGAGGGATGACCGTATCCACGATTTTGTATGTGAGAGAGAAAAATAAACTACACAGTGAACTCATATTAATCGAATCGAATGTGCCTTAACCAAATCCATATCCATTTATTTTTGTCAGATATCGAATTTGGATATGGATCTTGACGGATACTGAAAATCAAAACCGTATCCGCATCTGTCAGATATCGGTCGGATATCGGATATATTCGTATCTGTTTCTAATTTTTAAAATCAAATTAAACAATACTTTAATTTTAAATTAGATAAAGTCAAACCATTATTAAATCAATTTTAATTTGGTATGGGATAATTATTTTCTTTGTTTTCATGATTTATGATATTCTACGATAACTCTATATGGTAAAAAGATATACACAACACACATATACACATATTTTTATATGTCTGTACATATTTTTATATGTCTACACATTTATTTTGTATATAAAAATTTCTTATATTTTGAAATATCAATAGAGAAACAAAATATACACATAAAAAATTAGGAAAACTATATATAACGGATCGGATATTTGGATAAACGGTTATTTAAACGGATGCATATTCGGATCGGATTTTAAACGGATCGGATATACAATTACCAAATCTGTATCCGTTTAGTAATCAGATACGGATAATATCTGTTTAAAACAGATGCGGATATTTCCTCTTTAAACGGAATCGGATGCGGACGGTAATTGGATTTTCAGCTATCCGTTGACAGCCCTACATTTCAGTTAACTAAACTAGAAGAAAGTCTCGTTTGGTATGAGCTTTCTATTAAAACAAACGGGTCGATTCTCATGACATTATCCAGTAATATCACATGGGATGACTTGGGAATGTTCCGGTGTCTCACTCATAATATTGATGGTTTCTACCCCCTAACTCCTCCAAAAAATCCACCGACCCTACCCCGATCCATAGTCAAAATTAACTTGTGGGGTGCAATTAACAGAAATGGATGAGTATTTTCGGGTCAGGGCGAGTGGAGGGGTTTACCAGGGGCTAGGGGGTAGGAGTCGTTAATTTTACGAATGGACCACTGGAGCGGCCCCGGATCATCCCATGTCATGAGGTTCCAATGTCATGGGAACCCCACCGTTATTATTAAAACATTATTTTTTTAGTTTAGGTTTTGAGAGTTTGAATTCTAGAAAATTGATATGTCCTTGATATATTATTAGGTGTCATATACTCATATTAATGGAAAGGTAAGCAGATTTTATATGGACAAAAGCATAAATTTTGACTTTGGGTGGCCTATAGAAAGAAAAAAACAAATAAAGCAACATTTCAACGTGTATCCTTCCTCCAATTCCTCCAAATACGGGAAGCATAAATAGAACGTTTTTCCTGACAAGCAATAATTCCAATTCGAGTATTTAATTTTAATTGGCTAATAGAAGATAATTCATATTCGATAAAAATGGAAGATCTTGCAAAAAATTACTGGGAGGTACTTTCAATTTTGTGATAAAAACTTTCAGATTCCATACTTTTCAAAAATATATTCGAAGGGTACTTAAAATATCACTTTAGTCACTAAGGGGTGACAATCCATCCAACTAGCTGTTTATGAGGGTGAAATGTCCAAATTACCCCTCATTATTACCCAATAAAGATAGCTTCTTTATTCCCCCTCTTCCCCAAAGTTAACGATTAGCTTCCTCTTTATTTCTTATGGCGTTCTTAAGCATCTTACGGTTGACTTTAATGTAACCGTAGTAGTTCTAAGTAGATAGATTTCAAGTCTTGAATTTTTCAACTGTGTAGGAAAAAAACACAATCTAATTACACCAGTTACTAGACAAAAAAGCACAATCAAACCACAAGAAATTGTATAAAATTGGTGTGTATACAAATACCTGAAAAAATACAAATGATTCATCTCTCCTAGGCTTCGACGAACAAAACAATGACCTTTGTTTGGTGATGCTACTGAATTTGAAGGATTTAAGCAAAGAGGGGAGGGTTAAATTGGGAATTCTATGGCCTGTTTGAGAATAGTGTTAGCGACTAGCGTTAGCGTTTTGAAAAGACTATCTACAGGAAGCGTTTAGCGTTTTCAAAGTAATCTGTACCGTTAATATTTTATCCAAAACACCAACTCTATTCTCAAATATATCCTATGTCATGTCGTAAAGGAAATAAACGGAGTCACCCTCTTAAACGACTAGTTGGACTGATTGTCACTCCTTGGTGACTAAACTCATATCATAAGTACCCTTCAACTTTTAAAGTATATTTTCGAAAAACATGGGACATGAGAGTCTCTATCACACAATATAGAGGTACCTCCAAGCAATTTTTTTTGAAGATCTTGTAGATTCATCAAGATTAGCCTAATGAACGCGTCATGCTGCATTATTCCCAAGCTCTATAGGTACATGTTCCCTTCTACGGCATTGGAAGGCTTCCGTCGATGAAACTCCACTTGTTTTTGGAGTAAAGTGCCATTTTCATGGATCGAGACCATGTTTGATAATTCAATCTGTTGAGAGGAGGACTAACCAGAATTGCTGCTGGATTTTCATTAACGTGCAGGTAATATGGACTATTGCGATCTTCAGAAGTCGGAGTTGAACCGGAACTGTTGTTCCCAGCATTTGGCAGAGGGAGCGTTCGCAAATGGTGAAGAAAAATAATAACAGTGTAGGGAAACAGACAGACAAGGCTACTGATCATTGTAGAATATAACAATTAGACCTCTTGACAAAGTCCTGCAATTCCTCTCCGTTTTACCAGATTCCATTTATCCATTTTTTTTTATTTTTTTCTTGTCAATTTGTCTTCATTGTGACGAGTTACTATAATAGCAATTTTCAATTTCGCATCAGAAGTTGGAAAAAAGATGGAATCCAAACGCGTATATCTCAAGAACACGCTAGCAAGGCTACTGGACAATTGCAGGAACATGAAGGAACTCAAACCGATTCATGCCCAGATCATAGCATCCCCTTTCCTGTTAACAACTGATCGTTATTACCTCATTTCTCGCCTCATTTTCTTTTGCACCGTCTCAAACTCTGGCTCTCTCAGCTATGCCGACAGTGTTTTCCGATTCATCTCCAACCCGAGTTTGTTTGCTTACAACGCCATGATCAGAGCTCACGCTTCCAAGAACAGTGACCCGGCTTCTTGCCAAGCTTTAGTTTTGTATAAAAGATTGTTACTTGATGGGTTTACACCGGATTTTATTACGTTGCCCTTTGTGTTGAAAGAATGTGTTAAGAGGGCCAATGGTGGTTTTTCTGGTCAAAGCATCCATTCTCATGTTTTCAAGTTCGGATTTCACTGTGATGTTATTGTTCAGAACTCATTGATCAGTTTGTATTCTGGATGTGGGCTTATGGACAGAGCAGTACAGGTGTTTGACGAAATGTCTCACAGAGATATTGTGTCATGGAATTCGATGATCGTTGGGTATTTGCGAAACAAGCAGCTTGATTTCGCCATGGATCTTTTCACGAAAATGACAGAGACGAAGAACATCATCACATGGAATTCAATGATCACAGGGTTTGTTCAGTGCGGTAAAGGAAAGGAGGCTCTGGATTTGTTCCATGAAATGCAGATTTCTAGTGATGATAAAATCATCCCGGATAAAATCACAATGGCTAATGTTATTACGGCTTGTGCATCTCTTGGCGCTATTGATCACGGGGAGTGGGTTCACGGCTTCCTAAAAAGAAGCAAGATTGAATGTGACACTGTGATTGCTACTGCTTTAGTGGATATGTATGGGAAATGTGGTCGCGTTGACAAAGCATTCCAAGTTTTTAAGGAAATCGAAAGGAAGGACGTTTTGGCGTGGACTTCCATGATTTCGATCTTCACCCTCCATGGAAATGCCAAAAGAGTCTTTGAGCTTTTCAAAGACATGGAAACTGCAGGTGTAAAGCCTAACCACGCAACCTTTACTTCGTTGTTATCTGTTTGTGCCCATTCTGGGCTAGTTGAGAAAGGTCATTGGGTTTTCAATGCAATGAAGAGTCTTTATTCTCTAGACCCACAAGCTCAACACTATGCTTGTTTCGTTGATCTTTTGGGTCGGGCCGGGCTGTTCAATGAGGCTGAAGGGCTTATCAGAAGTATGCCAATGGAGCCCGATGTGTTCGTGTGGGGAGCACTACTTGGTGGGTGTCAAATCCATAGGAATTTTGAACTTGGAGAGAAGGTCGCTAAGCATTTGATTTCCCTGCAACCTCTGAACCATGCTTTTTATGTCAATCTTTGCGATATTTATGGAAAAGCAGGCAAGTTTGATGACGCAAAGAGAGTGAGAGCTGTGATGAATAGCAAAGGAATATCAAAAGAAGCTCCCGGGCTCAGCATGATTGAAATTGATGGGGTTGTTCATGAATTTTCTGCAAGAGGATCTGCTGAGGTTGTTTTGCAAGAAATAAAGCCTTTATTGGCTGCCTTAAGTTGTGAGATGAAGAAGGAAAGTGATTTCACATTCATCCTATCATTATAATATTCCAGCAAATATGGAAAGCATTCATTACAACCATTGCATACCTGAAACAGAATTAGTAATTTTTAGCACTTGCATGCAAATCTTGTTAATATGCAGCAAGCTGGCAATGCTCTTTTGTTATTCTGATCTGGCTCTAGGAAAAAAGGATTTTCCTGCAAAAAATATAAATTCTGGTTCATGCCCATTTTTTGCTTGATCATTGTCCATTTTTTGCTTATTCTTCTTCTTCGGATGAACCAAGGGGCCAGCCACATAATTTCTCAATATTGTTAGCAATCTGTCCAATGTTGGGCCTTTTAGTTAGATCTTCATCTAAACAATTGATTACCAGCTTTGTCATTTCTCTACCAACGTTCTCATCCACAGAAAAGGATGGATCCACAAATGATGTCCCTGCACCTGCAATCGTCTCATCCAACTTACAAATTTCTACGCTCTCGAATAATCTTCTAGATATCAATTCCCACAGCAGAATCTCATAAGCAAAGACATCAGTCTTTATGTTGAATATATCTGCACATTGGTTAGTTTTGCACAATGAATGCTATTATTCCTTGCTCAAGTTCTGCCAGGTCTCAATTCATTCCTGATATCATTCGATGCTATAGCAGGTTATTTGCTTATTTAGAGAATAATATATCAGAAAGCATATTGTATGTCAATTCCAATTTCATGAAATTTAATTTTACCTCTCCTAGTGGAGGCTGCACTATTGTTTTCACTGAAACTAAGGATTATGCTTCTGAACTTGCTCCGTTGTTATCCGATGCTCGTCCTTTACATGGTGATATTCAACAGGCCCAACGTGAGGTATATATTTTGTTTATTGCTGCTCAATTATGTTACTTTTTTTACTGTTAAGAATAACTGTTGGGATTAACTCACTCTAAAAGTGCTCTCAAGAGATAAAGTTTACTAGATGTGGGATAAATCCAATGTTTTCATGCCTCAAATGATTGGCCTATTTTCTCTTAGGTTACACTTTCAGGATTCTGACTAGGTCAGTTCACGACCTTAGTCGCGACGAATGTGGCTGCTCGCAGATTGGACAATGACGTTTTGCTTGCAATTCAGGTTTGTTTCTCTAGTACATAGTATTTTTTTGTGCGTGTTAATAAATTAATTTATAGTGTGAACCTCCACGAGATGCTGAGGATTACATTCATCGATCTGGAAGGATTGGAAGGGCGGGTTAGTGAGTCATCCATCTATGAATGTACGGAGTATTAACTACTCCGTATTAAATTAGGTCCAAGAGTGGTAGACTGATATGAAGTCCCACGACCAATACCCAGTTTCAGAAGACTAATATATAATAATAATATGAGTTACTTGTCTCATTGCCAATTGGTTTTTGGTTGAAATCTATCTAGAATTTCATAGTTCTAGACTGACAACAAATGCGAGATGCTTAAATGTTGGAACTAAAGAATGTTGTGTTCTCATTTCATTTCGGGGGTGGCAGTCATGTTTATGATCCAAAAAAGTCAAAACATTTCAAATATATAAAAAGGATTCTGGTGTGAAATTTGAGATGATGGCTGCCAAAATTGTTGGCAGAGAAGCTGCTGAAGAAATTGCGGCAATCTTTGATAGGTGCATACATATATGTAATGAGAATCCTCTTTTTTTATTCTTTCTGTGTTTTTCTTATTCACAACACATGTATCATAATGACAAGTTCTGATTTAATTTTGAATGCGCAAAGTGTGATAATACCCCAGAACCTGATCAATGCCTCTAATCTCACAAAACATTTGTGACTTATTGAGGGAGTTTTCTCATACTTAAATCTCACAACCTTGAGACAGGAAGCCATTGTTTGGATGATGAGAACGAGGAAGGAAAGAAAATACATTTTTTTTATGTTTGTTTTAGAGAGAAAATGATGAGGGTGAAGAATTTAAGCATGGGTTTCACATTAAAAAAAATTATCACCGAAATAGGTAAGAGAACCGTATGAGCTTTCTCCACCATTATTTTTTTCTTATTTCATCTTTTCAAATTTTTTTGTACCATTTTCTTTCCATTTTCCATCAATCCAAATATTAACTTTTTTCTCTCGTCATTTTCTCACAAGTGTCTTTCCTTTCATTTTCTTTCCTCTCCTTTTTTCACCTCCATCCAAACAAAGGTTAAGTACGATAACTTTGAGACAGTGATCAACTAAGTTTAGTATCCATCATGGTGTTTGGAATTGAATTTGTCATCGAGTTTGGAATTGAATCCTTTGTATGACGAGATAAGTCGTGATAACTTTGAGACACTAATCGATTAAAACATATCTTACGATTTACCTCTTCTGCTGAGTATGGCCTGTCTTAAAAATCTCATGACTTGGGCTGAGATAGAAAAAATCTTAAGGGTCTTATCTCTAATGGCTTAACGAACTAAAGTGTGCAACTTAATTAGATTTAAATGACTATTAACGTAATGACATTATAACAAAATGAGTAAATGATAAAATCATAGTAAATGATTTATGTATACTTATCTCGCCAAACTAATGTTTTGAAAGTCAGACCGTACAAGCTAATGGGTCAAAGATTAACTGGTCGAACTGATCGACGGGTTAATTATAATTAAAATAAGAATATTCAACTTATATTATTAGATATTTTTAATTAACAAGAAATTTTAATTTGTATTTTTCACTCTTCCATTTAGTTTTTAATATTATTTTGCATATGTTGTCACACTTTCTATTTTCTATTTGTATTATTATTAAAGATAAATAATAAATATCTAATAAAGACTAAAATAGTAAGGCAATACTCATATTTTTTATAAGTAAAAGCTAAGTAATGTGTTCATATATAATACTTTGTAATTATTATTTAACACTTCAGATCTAAATTTAGTTAATTGAAACGAGAAAAAGTAAAAGAAAAAAATTAAATATTAATATATTAAAGTATAATTAATCAATATTTTTTAATTTTTTATGACAATAATTTTTTAGGAAATTATTTTTAAGTACAAGTTTTCATATTAATTTTTAAATAAAACATAAATAATTATTTTATTTGTGTTTTGAACTATTGGGCTCCATATGAGTGTATCTCTCATCTTTTTGTTTTTTTTTTAGAAATCTCTCAAATGAGATGTGTGTGTGTTTCGGGACCGTACAAGATATTTCTGTAACAGGCGCATCTGGAAACAAGTCATCACGGTGACTTCTTACTCAAATCCTCTTATCGGGTCCGGATAAAGACCCGCCTCCGCATCTCTCTCTCTCTCGCTCCGACAGCGACCGGCGCATCACCGCGCCTATCTCGCACCCGCAACCATATAAATTACCAGCTCAACCATGTCTTCTTCTCTACTCCGCCTTTATTCGCCGGAGAGTAACGGCTCTAACCGCGAAGACGGAAACGACGGGCGCGATTCCCGCCTCTCCGCACTCGACGCGCCCAGCTTTGTTCTGCTTCCGCCCCACGCACTCCTCCAGGCCGCCGTGTCTCTCAAAGACCAGGTGAGCCACGTACACGCACTGCCCGGAGAGTAAATGCCGGCGGGATTCGTTTTTAATCATCGGCGATTGAAATTGATTCGATTTTTTGTTGGCTTCAGGTCGTCGACGTCACGTGGACGGCGCGCGGTGGCGGTGCGGGGCCGAATGTGGATCCGACTGTGTACACGGGTCTGCTGGGGACGGCCTACACCTGTCTCCGGTCGTTCGAGGCCACCGGAAGTCGCCGAGACCTGAACTTGTGCGCCGATATCGTTGACGCGTGCGCCTCTGCCTCACGCGCCTCCACCACCAGGTCAGTGCAACCACTTTCTTCCGTTTTGGGGTCATTATTTGTTTCCTGATTTCCCGGGTTTCAACGGTTAAATGCGTTTTTGAACTTACCGAGTAAGTTTTAGAGTTTAGACATATGATGTATTGATGTCTCTATAAGACACAGCGGTTCCAGAGATGGTAATTTCCAAATTGGTGTTCTTTTATTTCCATTTTATACCAGAGTAATTCTAACTGTGTGCAGTGCCTAACTGTCGCCACCAAAAAATTATGAACATGTCTAACACTCATCGTCCCTTATCTCCCCTCTCTACAAACAATCATGTGCATGATCGAAGAACAGGAAAATTGCATTTGTCTGTATTTTTTCTAGAAATCAAGAGCATGAAAAACGATAAAGAAACAGAGAACGGCCCAAGGAGAAAAATAAACTTCTTACCCTGGCTCCCATCGCCAAAATAATACTCCGTAATTGGTCTAATATTATGATACAATTTGATAATAGTTAGTCTTATTGAGTAAGAAAAGTTTGATTCCTATATATAAAGACTACAAGAGTAAATCTTAATATTCACAATAGAATATTAATTATGGAAAAATAGAATAAGAAAAGTAAATAATAATAATATTCTATTTTGGGCCTGTTTGGGAATAACGTTAGAGATTAGCTATCTACAGGCAGCGTTTAGCGTTAACATTTTCAAAATAATCTGCACCGTTAAAATTTTATCCAAAATACTAACGCGCTAATCTCTAACGCTATTTCCAAACAGATATTATTCCTAATATCTCCGTAAGCTGATCATCTGTAATGAGGAGGAGCTTGAAATGTATTATAATGGAGTCTGCTGAAGCAATTTTTTGAGATAGTTGCTAGAAATAGAGAGACAAATCTCCGTTGAAACGAATTTGAGACGAGTCATGATATATATGGACATGACATTCTTGTAAGACATGGACATGTGAAAAAATCGCGCAACGACTTTTAGGACATGGACATGACAGTCTTGGAAGGGTTATTACTGTCTATTTAGGTTGTTGCTTAGGGACTGTTTGTTTCAGCCTCTTAATGGTTCAGATGTCTGAATGGTTCAGCACTTAATGGTTCAGACGGTTTGTTTCAGCCTCTTAATGGTTCAGATGTCTGAATGGTTAAGAGATTTGCCTCTGAATGGTTAAGTATTATACAGAGTCTGAATGGTTAAGACTTCTTATCTGAATTGATCAGACATTTGCTTCTGAATAGTTAAGCAATATACTAGCTCTTAATGGTTCAGACCTCTTACTGGTTCAGCACTTAATGGTTCAGACCTCTTACTAGTTCAGCATTTAATGGTTCAGACATCTTACTAGTTCAGCACTTAATGGTTCAGACTTCTTACTGGTTCAGCACTTACCTATTCAGAAGTTGCCAAACAGCCCCTTAGTGGTGTTGGGATTCCTCAAGTCCCACACCGGATGAGTAGGAGTAAATGAACCAAAATATATAGGTTCACCCAGCTCCATTAGTATGAGGCCTTTTGGGAGGTGCCCAAAAACAAATCCGTGAGGGCTTGACCTAGAGCGAAGAATATCATACTAATGCGGGGTTGGGGTGAGGGCACGCGCAGTCCCAACAAGTGGCACGTTAATTTGGTTAATCTCGTCTCAATTTCAATCGTAGAAAGTGGAAACTCGAATGGGGAGGGGGCAAACTTTACTTCATTTTCAAACGAGGAAAGTTCTTTATTGAAATTGATTCCTGACCGACCAAAGGGATATTGATGTTACAGCCTGTCACTTGTGTGGCCCACTGGTTATATATGAAAGATGGTTTTTTTGACTTATATGAAAGATGGAAATAGTTTTACTTTGATGAGTTGACAATGACCCTGTTTGGCATCAGCGTCAGAGATTAGCGTTAGAGTTTTGAAAAAGCTATCTGACGGTAGCCTTTAGCGTTAGCGTTTTCAGAATTAATCTATACCGTTAAAATTTTATCCAAAACGCTAACGCTAATCGAAAACGCTGTTACCAAACAAAGCCAATAACTAAAAAGGATAAACCTCATCTCCGAGGTCTATTCAGAATCGACCGGACGATCACCTGAGAGGAGATATATTAAACCATAATCACACTCTGACTAACAAAGGGTGGAGTCTGTCCTGCACTTAGTACTTGCAGAGAACATATGCTTAGCATAGTTAACCATATCGGAGTTGTCAAAGATCAAACTCGGATTTACTTTCTTTTGCATCCCTTGCTCAACCAACTGAGCTAAGTGATCCTTGAAGAGATAGGAGATTAATGGGGAAAAAAATAGGAATATTTTGGTAGGACCCATATATCTTGTTGAGATATATAAGCATCACATACTTTAGCCAAAGACATATCTACTCTGCATTATTACTCCCTGTCTTCTAAACCAAGCTTACACTATCCATTTTTTTAATGTTAAAAAATGAATTTTATCCTTTTTCCACTTTTCTACTATAGAAAATTTATCCCTTGACAAATTTCAATCATAAAAAAAGTTTATTGTGTTAGTTTTAGTGAAATCGATAAATAATTTAGAAATATAGGTGTATTTGAATATTTCTAATAGTTAAATGACTTTTATTCAGTTGGATTCTTCAGACTTACTGTTTACTGGTCATCTTATAACTTGTGAAATTTGCACTAAGTAGGATTAAAATATAAGTCTTTTTCCAATGTAGGATTTAAACTTTTTTTATTCCCTAAATATGACTTAATAATGTCTAGTGTGAGAAATAATGTCCAGTAATGATGAACATTTACTTGAACAATGACTAATTGTTAATGACCAAAGGTCCTACATTGGGAAATAAAAACATATGGTCTTATATTGAGAAAGTCATAATGTTTCAGTTCTATTTAGGTAAATTTCTCGATCTGATGTTTAAATATATAAAAAAAAAAATTAATTTTACATCAATATTTAAACAAAAATGAATTAAAATTGAGTTAAGAATCAATGGGACGGTGGTACTTACTTTTTAAAAGGGCAACTTTTATTTTAAAAAAGATCATGAATATAATTCAGAAAATATACTATTGGAAAAAAAAGTTAAATGGGAGTTTGAAAAACAGAGTTTGACAAATAAGTAGGACATTGAGCTTGGGTGAACTGGTTGGAGACGTTTTATAATAATTCTTGAAATCTTTTGAACTCATCAAATATGAGTGGATTTTTTGTGTTGACACTTGACAATGCTAAGGCGACCCCAACTTTCATCTCATTCTTTTCATAGACACTGCGGAAACATTCATCGTCTGTTGTGTCTAGAAAAGAATGCGTGAAAGTTGGGTCATCTTTGGGGTGACCCTAACTTAATTCTTTTTTGTATTGGTCCTTTTCTTGCTGGGGACCAGGCATATAACTTTTCTTTGTGGTAGAGGAGGGATCTATGCACTAGGTGCAGTTGCAGCCAATTACTGTGGGGACCAGCAGAAGCAAGAACTTTATTTGAACTGTTTCCTTGAGGTACTCATCCTTGTGTTTCCTTCACTACAAAAAAGTGAAACTCTGTGGCTTAGATTAATGCAAATGACAATTGGAACCATTTAAATATTTCATTAAATTATACTCCTATGAGAAGTTCTTTTTTGGACAAACTTAAAAAATAAAGATGTGAACATTATTTTCGGGTTAAATTTGATATTTGTCATCTACTTAAGTGGACTTTACAGAAGTCAGTTGAAAGAGTGGATTTAGTCACACCTTTTAAATAAGCAAAAAATGGTGTTTGGAAGGATCTTCTCTAAGGTGCTATGAGTACAAACAATGTTTGTTTTCAGGTGGCACAAGAGAAGGCACTTCCAGTTGGTCCTGAAGAAGGAGGGTTCGGAATGTCGTACGATCTCCTCTACGGGAGGGCAGGTTTTCTGTGGGCAGCTCTTTTCATAAAGAGGCACTTAGGATGTGAGGCAGTGCCAGATGAACTCCTAATGCCGGTAGTGGAAGCCATACTTGAAGGGGGTAGGGCAGGGTCGGCAGACAATTCGGTCTGCCCGCTCATGTACAGATGGCATGGCACGCGGTATTGGGGCGCAGCGCACGGCCTTGCTGGTATTCTGCAAGTGTTGCTCCATTTCCCACTATCTGATGACGGCATCGAAGATGTCAAGGGGACCTTAAGGTACATGATGAACAATAGGTTCCCTCACACCGGGAATTACCCGGTCAGCGAGGGAAACCCCAGGGATAAGCTGGTTCAATGGTCTCACGGTGCCACTGGCGTTTGCATCACCTTGTGCAGAGCATCTCAGGTTGGCTTTCCCTATTCGCGCGTAATTTCTTTCTTTTGTCTTGTGTTAAGAAACCAATTCAACCAAAGCCTCAAGTTGTGGTTGTAGGCTTAGGAAAGGTTTTTATATTCTAACACGCCTTCTCACGTGTGTCAATGAACCAACTCAACCAAAAACTCACATCACGTGCAGGCGAGATTTATTTTTGCTCGAGCCTTGCATGTGAAATTTTATTTTTTAAAAAAAATTGGGTGGCGGTGAAGTTTGAACTTGTGACCTCTTGGTCATCAAAACTCCAAAACCATGTAAGGTTGTGGTTGTAGGCCTATGAAAGGTTTTTATATTATAACACACCCCCTCACATGGAGAGTGCGCTTCGAGCATTGCACGTGAAATCTTATTTTTTAAATAAAAAAATAGATTTCATACTCTTGAGCCGGGGGTCTCTTTGGAAACGGCATCTCTACTTTCGAGTAGGGGTAAGGTCTGCGTACACACACCCTCCCCAGACCCTATTCTTGTGGGATTTAACTGGGTTGTTGTTGTTGTTGTTTAGATTTCATACTCTAACACGCCTCTCACATGCAGGCGGGATTTATTTTTGCTCGAGCCTTGCATATGAAAATTAATTTTCTTATAAATTGGTGGCAGTGAGATTTGAACTCGTAACCTCTTTGTCATCAAAATTCCAAAACCATATGAATGAACCAATTCAACCAAAAGCTCAAGCTTGCGGTTGTAGGTCTAGAATTTTTTAATATTCTAACACGCCCCTCACATGAAGGCGTGACCAATTTGGGCATTGCACACAATTTTTTTTAATAAAAAACTAGATGCGATGAATTTTGAACTCGTGACTACTTGGCCATCAACGAATAAATTCAACCAAAAGCTCAAGCTTGTGGTTTTAGGTCTAGAAAGAGTTTCTATATTCTAACAACCATTGTGGTATCTAAATAGGTGTTTCCGGAGGACCGGGAATTCCGGAATGCCGCAATAGAAGCGGGGGAAGTGGTGTGGAAGAACGGGCTGGTGAAGAAGGCGGGGCTGGCGGATGGGGCGGCAGGAAACGCGTACGCATTCCTGTCGCTCTACCGGCTGACCGGAGAGAGCATATACAAGGAGAGAGCAGTGGCGTTCGCGAGCTTCGTGCACCACCATGGCGGTAGGGACCACACCGCGTACGGAGCGGACCACGCCTACTCCCTGTTCAGGGGGTTAGCCGGAGCGGTCTGCTTGTGGTTTGATTTGATGAGCCCAGAGAATTCCAGGTTCCCTTGCTATGAAATTTAAGAGCCATCATGTCTGTGATGATTGAAACTACAAAAAAAAAAAAAAAGAAACAGAAACAGAAACTTATATGGCTGAGGAAGTAGGAAAGACACTACTTTGGTACTTTGTATTCTCTTAGTGCTAGTGATGTCCTACTGTATGTATGTATATACATTCTGCTTTTATAATGTTTAAAAAAAGAAAAATGTCAGGGGCACACTAAAGGTGTACTCCAAATGTACACCGCCCCCTCTAATGTCACATATATTGGCAAATAAAATGCAAATAAATAAATAAATAAAAATAAATGGGAGAAAAATGGGTGGTGTACATTTGGGATACACCTTTTGATGTACACCTAGCATCCCCCTAAAAAATTAAGATCAACCCTACCTAACTTAGAGCTATATGAAAAACAAAGGGAAAAACAGATAAAAGTGAAAGTTTATGGGGTGCATCGTGAATCACCAATCAAAAGTTGTGTAAACAGATCAAACAATCACACAATCGAGAAAATGTTGTAGCATTGTCACAGTAGCAAATGACAGACCAACGGTGCGCTATAACACATTCTCTTTGTAACATCCCTTACAGAGTTCGGAGCAAAACTCTCATACATATGCGGGCTCACCTCCGTGTAACATCTCTTCTACTAAATCAATGTAAGATTACACCTTCAATCACAATAGATTCTATCTAATTGTATTGAATTAACCTACTTACGATTGATTTGACAACAAACTCTGTTTTTGTCTAACTTCACGGCTGATTACACTTACTTCAATATATTAAGTCACTAGACGTGTTGCCAGTCGTTTTCCAAGTCTTCAGAATTCAACTACTGGAAAAATGCAGATCAAGCATGTTACATGCGTCAGATTGACTGCAAAGACTTTAAAATATGTACCTTCTCATATGCTACTCCTCACAAGATGTACAGAAGATATATGATGAGTAATCAACGTGATAAATGAAACTATCAGTTTCTCGAGTTCTTGCTTGTATATATGGTTCTCCTCTCATATCAATTTTTACCACGGTAACGAGGACGGTAAATAAGAATAACTCAAGAGCCCTAGTAGAGTCCTACTAGGACTTGGTGTTCCTTTCAAAGTCTTTACGCTCCAAATGCCTTGGGTCTTAGACTCCCTGCAGCATTGACTCCTAGGTCTTGTAGTCTTATGAGACGCTAACATATTCTATCAATCAAAATAAAACTCGATTCCCAGTGCAAATAGAAACCTTCACAACTGAAAAGTGTAGTAATTAGAAATAGGAATTAGAATGCATTTGCATTAATAATGATGACATGCACATTACCGAAAAGTGTAGTAAAGTGCTCAAAGAGTATAGTTAAGTATTCATGTACATTCTCATATTGCCATAGTGTGAACTCTTATTTAAGAAATAAAAACATGAAATTTATATATTTTGATATTTTCTCTATGTTTTACTCGTATCTAAATTAATTTATTAAAAACAAATTTAATGATTTCTTATTGGGACGATCAAGTCATTACTCCAAAAGAGTGCTTTCGTTCACTATTTGTACTCTAGGGCCTAAGCAACATTTCGAGAGCCAATTTAAACCTTTGGTTGAATTGATTTATTGATATAGTATCAGAAGCTTGCCAATAGAATCTATGGATTAAATTTTATTCCCATTTAGAGTTCAAGCAAAAATAAGCCTCCTCTACACATTACATGATGAGCATGTTAACATATTCCTATATCTTTTTGAGCTTACAATTAGAAATTTGAACATTTGATTGAGTTAGTTCATATAATTTTATATACACAAATAAACATATGCCAAGATAGTATCAATTTTTTATAGTAAATTTTTAAAATAATCCTTTTAAATAAGGTATTTTTTATAGTGAATTTACAAAATAATTATAATTAATTTATATTTTCAAAAAGTAATTATAATTAATTACACATGTCTGATTTTTGTTGAATGAATTAAGTTCAAAACATGAATTATCCTTGGCTTCTTATAACATTAATCTCAATTTAATTTATCAAAGTCAAACTTGTAGAACTAGTATTTTCTTATAAGAATATTGTTTTACTTGATAAAGTTAAGCACGAAATCTCTAGCAACCATAAACCAAATTGGTTGTTAATAAACAATTCAGGAAAGACAACACATGGATGATGGTGGATCCAATCGGACTCCACTTGTGTTCTTTTGTTTTTGTTTTTTTCTTTTGATCTTTTCAATTTTCTTGGTTATGGCCATTAAACAGCCCCTAGTTATGGCTATATAATATAAATTGTTATTGGAAAAATAAAATTTATATATTTAAAACTAGATCGAAAGTTCTAAAAAATAAAAAATAAGATGTAACTAGAATATTTAATTTTATCAAATCATTGAAACAACAACAACAACCCAATTGAATCCCACTACAATAGAGTATCAAATCATTGAAAATATATAAATAAATAAAAATTATCGAGAGATTATAATAATAAAGAGATAAATTATTTTGAGACGAATGAATAACATTTATGTTGTGTATTCAACAAAATTATTATATTTCTTATATCTGAAATTAGTTGTCCATTATATTACTTGATTTTCGAATGTTCAAAATTTGTTGTTCATTGGCCATGTGTAGCAATCAAATTTCGAGAAGTAGGAAAACAACGGTAGACTTTGTGTCAATTAAAACAAAAAATAATACTCCTATCGTCCCGAAAACATGAGAGTTTTTTTATTTTTAAGAGATATAAAAGAAGTGTATTTTTGTGTTGAGTTTCCAAAAATGTTCTTTGATGTGATCGTTAAAAATAAGATTTGATGGGTAGTTTAATAACGATGTGAAAGGTAAGTTAATAATTAATAGCGGTAAAAGTGACTTTTTAATAAAATGAGAAAAGTTGTTTGAAACATACTCCGTATAAAAAAGAAAAAAGAAAAATTTTAAGGGACGGTGGTAGTATTGGACCATGCTAGGGTGCCACTACATGGGTGCTACCATGAGTGCACCCATGCTTCGCACAGATAAACACAGACGATAATTGTTTGTGCGACACAGACAATTATCGTCAATTATCGTCTGTGTTTGTCTGTGCGAAATATGGGTGCACCCATGGTAGCACTCATGTGGTGACACCATAGCATTTTCCGGTAGTATTTGATACGGATTTTTCAAACAAATGTCATTTGAGTCTTCAAAACGACCATGTTTGGATATTTGACCTTCCCAGATTGACTTTAGCCAATTTTTAAGGAATGAGTAAAAATACCTTTGACCTTCCAAAAATAACCTCATTCTAAAATTTGGAGAACAACCCAACTCCCATCCAAATTAAAAAAAGAACGATCCCTCTTTCTGGCGAATTAAGCATCGGCGGCGGCTCAACTAATTCCTCGGTGACAGAAGCGATGGTGAAAAAACCCAATTCCATCCCTTTTTAAATATCTTCTCCCGTCAAGTTGAAGAAATTGAAAAAACAAAAAGTTAAAAACCCCAACCCAGGAAGTCACCCTTTCATCACTGTGATGAAGCAAAAAAAGAAATAGGAACTCACCTTCTTTCGCTCTGTGCGTGGCGACCTAGACAGTGTTAATTGGTTCAAAGCTTTAGCATTGGAAGAATTCAAATAAAATTCAGAAGCTTCTGAAAAAAGAAATAGAAAATCAAGTAGAGCTCTTGTAAATTGAAAAGAGAAATAAGAACTCAAGCTAGATCTAGGATTTTCTTTGACGGCGGCAATTGGAAAAACAGAGGATTTTCTGGGAACAAAATTTTTGGATCTCCTAACCCATCTCGTTGCCAAGCAGATCTGGGAACAAATTCTCACAAAAAAAAAATATAGATTTGGATCTCCTAACCCATATGCACCGCCGACCCCTTCTGTACCATCTGGATTTGGATCTCCAACCCATCTGCACCATCTCGATTTGGATCTCCGAAGCCATCTGCACCATCTCGGTCATGTAGATCCACTAACCCATCTCGCTGATTTGGCTTCAATAATTAGATCCGAAAGAAGAAAGGGAGAAAGAAGAAAGACAAGAAAGGAAAAATCTGAAAAAGAGAAGATAGAAAAAAGGGAGAACGAGAAAGAAAAGGAAGGGAAGAAAGGGAAGAAAGAAGAAAGACAAGAAAGGGAAAAAGAGAAGGGCGAACAGGGAGAGAGAAGAAATGGAGAAACACGGGAAGAGAAGGAGAAACGATGGAAAAGGGTATTAAAGTCATTTACCTACTTTTTTTTTAGAAGTGGGAAGATGATTTTAGGACGAAGAAAAAAGGGAAGTGGGAAGATCAATATAGGACGGAGGGAGTAATAAAAAATAAAAAAATTAGTGTTTTTACGTTTTTGACCCGTCCCTGTCTCAATGTAACTTATAAATATATGATATGACAAAAAATAAAAATCAAGAGGACCCAAGTTCCAGTTGCTTCCATTTGCAGAAAACTCCATAAGCGCCACGTCTTCACCTGCTTTCTTTCTCCCTCTTTTTATTCTGCTATTATTGCACCCAAAATAAAAATTAAAAAAAAAACAAACTGTTCTATAAATATATTATATATGTGCCCTCCCTCCACCTTCTCTGCTTCCAAAGAAAGACATGACCTCCAACTTCTATATCATAATATAATATATATTCCCTTTAGTGTAATTGTGTCTTCTGATCTCTTAAAAGCAGAGAAATATAACTTAATTAAGAAAAGTTAAATGGAAAAGTATGAGATTCTTAAGGACATTGGTTCTGGCAATTTTGGGGTTGCCAAGCTGGTCAAGGACAAGTGCAGTGGGGAGCTTTTGGCTGTCAAGTATATTGAAAGGGGCCATATGGTAATTTACCTATTTTGTTCTTCTCCTACTTCAATTACCCTTTTAAAAAAATACTCCTTTTCATTTCCTAATTACAGCACAATTGATCTTCACCATTTAATCTGTTAGTAGATTGATGAGCATGTTCAGAGGGAAATCATGAACCATAGATCCCTCAAGCATCCCAACATTATTAGGTTCAAAGAGGTATGCAATTATCAAACAGTTACTAGTCATTGATTGGGTCCTAATTTTTTTTTATGAAATGAAAGGAAAATTGTGTGGTTGAGATTTATGCATATGAGAAAAGAAAGAGTGTCTTGTTTCCTGCAGCCACTTTGGCGGTGGCGGCGGGTGGTGGCGGCGATGATGATGATGATGATTGGTGTTTCTGTGCAGGTGTTTTTGACAGAGACCCATTTGGCCATAGTGATGGAATACGCCTCCGGGGGAGAGCTATTCGATCGAATTTGTAATGCTGGAAGATTTAGTGAGGATGAGGTTTGCACAACTCCAACCTCTTCAAGTTGTTTATGAAACTGTTAGTTGTAGAATCGGGTTTATTTGCTATCCAAAAGGAGGTTGCGGGGTAGCTTGTTGTCTGTTTACCTGCCACTTTTTTGTAATTGGTTGTTTTGGATGATTATCAGAGATTGAGTTTAAAAAATGCCAAAAGTATTTCTTCTTTCAATCCAAAATCAATTTACAATGAGATGAGTAACTCGTGTTCTTGTGCATTAGCCTTTTTTTAGTCTGAATGTTCTATAAGGGACTATATCTTCATCATTAATTTTTTAAGATATATTGACTACTTTTCAGGCAAGATTTTTCTTCCAACAGCTAATATCAGGAGTCAGTTATTGCCACTCTATGGTACTTTGATTTCCCAATCTAATCATTCTTTTATCAAGTAATGTCATACCAATGTGAAATAAACCTAACTTATGTTTTGGATTACCTAACTTATGTTTTGGGTTTATTTGTTTTTGTTGAGTGCAGCAAATCTGTCATAGAGATCTCAAGCTTGAAAACACGCTTTTAGATGGAAGCTCGACGCCCCGCCTCAAAATATGCGATTTTGGCTATTCCAAGGCAATAATAAATGCTCACTTTTCGAGATAGATTAAAACGATTAAATCTGTTAAACTATCTCACATCGGGGAAAAAAATTGGAGAAAATTATAATGAGTTAATTATCGATTGGATTCAGTCTTTTAGTATTTGTGTTGAATTGTGTGTGAAATTGATGACTATTGGTGTTCATTTTTTAGTCTGCAGTTTTGCATTCACAGCCCAAGTCCACAGTTGGAACCCCAGCATACATTGCACCAGAAGTCTTTTCAAGAAAAGAGTATGATGGAAAGGTTGGACTTTTTTGAACTACTTGTAATTTGTTAGTTGGCCTCAAAATGTGCTTCATAAAGTCAACACCCACATTGTAATTCATTATTATAAAGAAATAATTATTTATATGTGAATGAATGAATAAAGATTGCAGATGTTTGGTCTTGTGGGGTTACCCTATATGTGATGCTGGTTGGTGCTTATCCCTTTGAAGACCCTGAGGACCCTAGAGATTTCAAGAAAACCATCACTGTATGTACACATCAACATAACTTGCTCTCTTTTGGTTTTTGGTTTTGTTAATGTCTTTTTTTATAGCTATGGGTTTTTTTTTCTTTTGGTGCAGAGAATATTAAGTGTTCAATATTCAATCCCGAGCTACGTCCGGATATCCAAGGAGTGCAAGCATCTCTTATCTCGGATATTCGTGTCAGATCCCGACGAGGTTACTATTTTGAGTTTTTTTTATTTTAACGATAGTCCTTTAAAAAAAAGTAAGTCGGGTCTGTTGGAAAGAGCCTATTTACTTTTGAGTAGGGATAAAGTCTGCGTAACCTCACCCTGTCCAGGCACTACCTTGTATGGGATTATCAAATCGTGCAAACCAAGATATAAAAGTTAAGGTGAAATGTGTATGCAGAGGATAAGGATAGAGGAGATCAAGAAACACCCATGGTTTCTTAATAGCTCTTCCGAAGAAACCATGGACTCTTCACTCGAAGACATCAATGGAGAAGCAAATGGTGGTGGTGATGATGATGATAAGAATAAAGCTTGGCAGAGTGTCGAGCAGGTGTTGGCCATAATACAAGAGGCTCGCGAGGCGACCGGACCGGGTGGCCTACTGGTTGATGACATGGATGAAATAGACTTTGATGGTGAGATAGATGAGGAGGAGGAGGAGGATGATGATATGGAGTCAAGTGGGGACTTCATATGTGCATTTGTGAGCTAGCCAAAGTCACTACTACTATTTCATGCCATTGTCAATGAACCTCATCATTTTATGTTTGTGCTCTCTACTCTCTTTGTTGCGCTGAAAAAAATCTAACTTGTAATGTAATCTGAACTACGAGTTGGAATTTTTTCAGCGAAATTGAAGAAATAGTATGAGTTTAAAGGGGTTATTGCTTGAACTGAAGAATAATGAATAGTATTCTCTCCGTCCACCAAAGATCTTCTCATTGCGCGTAACGAGATTTGACCGACTTTATTTTCAATTCAATTTATTAGATTGTAAGAATAAAATTCAAAAATAAAAATTATATAGTAAAAAGTACATGAAAAGTTCTACAAAACTACATGTGATGAGACTATATTATTTTATGAAATGAGTAGTAAAAATAAGTAAACAAAGTGAGTAAAGTTTGACCTTGGGAATAGTGTCTGGGAAGATCTATAGTTAACAGAGGGAGTATTTTTCTTCAAAGAAAAAAAATAATAGTAATACTACTGGAGATTTTGATACTCCGTAATAAATTGTCACCCAAACGTGGGGGTGCCTACGGGGAGGGGTGGAGTGGGGTAAAAAAGACGAGATAGGGATTCGGGCTTGAGGAGGAATCGGGAGAATAAATTATGAGCTATGCTTCCATGATCCTAAGATTCAAGGTGAAATATGGACTTCCTCACATTCTTTTGCTGATATAGGGATCTTTTATTTTTTCAAAAAGTTCAATTCATCCATTATATTTATATGCTAAGGTCCATAAAATAAGTGTGGAACTTAGAATTACAGAAGAATTTGCCATGAACTATTTCCGAGTCGAACAAGTTTCAAATAGACTTATGTCACATTACGATATTGACCATCAATAAAAAAAATAACAATATAGTTGGATCAAATGAAAGTAAGGTTTTGGGAGAGTGTGGCACATACTCAAAAGTAGAGATGTTATTTTTAAGAGACTTCCGGCTCAAGGTGCACATATAGAAGAATCACAGTAGATACATAAAGTAGGAAAAATATAATACATATACAACACCAAGCTAACCTAGAGTAAAAAATAAACTAAAGTTAACGAAGGGAAAGTAATGCAACAAAATAACAAATAGCACCAAACATGCGAAACATACAACACACACAAGAACACCCCTTGCTCAAGGCACCTACCTAGATGCTTTAATCCTATCTCTCCAAACGTTTTTATCCAAGATCATATTCTAAGTGAGGGCAATAAGTCAAAGTTATGTCCTATCACTTCCTTTCAACTCTTCATAGGTCTACCCCTTTTCCTGCTTCCCCTACCAACATAAGCCTTGCATCTCTGCATAGGAGCGTCAACATTCAACCGTCTCACGTGACCGAACCACCTCAACCTATTTTTCGACAACTTATCTTCTTGTGACGCCATTCCTAACTGATCTCGGATAACCTCGTTTAGAATCCTATTCAGCCTCGTCTGCCCACACATTCACCGCAACATCCGCATCTTCTCAGCATGCAAACAATGCACATGAGTTTTCTTAACCGCCCAGTAATTTGCCTCATACAACATCGCTAGTCTGATCAGGGACTAGTAGAAATTACCTTTCGATATGGGCGAAATCTTCTTATCGCACAACACCCCTAAAGCCAATTTAACCTCCACTTAGACCGAGTTACTCCAATATGTTGCACAACATTTCCGTCTAACTCCCCATTTGTAGGTTGGATAGTTTTCTATTTTAAAATGATTTGAAGGACATTTACCTCACATTATAATTAAATGAAAATTTTCATACAAATGTTATGTTGTGAAATTTGATCCAGAAAATTAATGGGAGCATCTTTGAGAGTGAGGGAGCATTCAGGCCGCACAAAGTTATTGTAGAATGACATCAATTCACACAATGAACAAGATGGATCACATTCTTAATTGGCAAAGTGGGTCTGAAATACTAGTACCAAGTATTATTATCATTGTCCCAAAATATCATTATAGTTCACCTGGACAAAGTGAACCTGTCTCAATCTCAAACATAATTGTACCAAGTATTACAATACAACTGATAGAGGCATGTACATTAATTCACCTGGACAAAGTGAACCTGTCTCAATCTCAAACATCATGCCTTCTTCTGCACAAAACTCTTAAGAACCACCCTTGCATTGAGCAAAAAATGAAGATGATGTAGTATCAAAGACTAGCTTCAAATCTGTTGATTGGCAATTTTGTTAAAATGTTATCTTTTAATGGAAGTTCACATTCTGTCTATTTTTATTTTGTTTATTATTTGGGTACGTTGAACATCTGTACTTTTTGTATATTGTTCAGCATCTGAACATGACATTGTTTCTGTTTTAGTGCTTGTGTGCTTGTGTGCTTGTGTATTTGACTTTTTTTTAGTTGTTTTTAAATTGCTCATTGGTTTTCTAAGTTTTTAAATGCTAAAACTGGATTGGATAAGTGCAATGAGGTCTGTACAAGTGTAATTTATTTCTGTTCTCATTTTATTACCTGTAGATGAATTGGATGGTAAACCAGTAGCAATATTTGATGGTGTTTATTTTGATGGTAACCTTTTGCTTTGTATATTTTTACACTTTGTTAGGTGTTTATTAATTCATACTATTGTTACTATATGGAGGTGTACATATATGTTATATACAATTCAAGGCTTCCACAGCCATTATGGTCATTACTTGCACGAAATAATTCATATGCAGCAAGTTGGAAGTCCATACGCAGAAATCTCAGCATTTAACAAAATCATTCGGAAATATATGAATATGGGTGTAGCAATGCAACATAACCAAGAACATGAAATTAGTAGATACCCATTTTGAACTCAACTTTTTTAAACAAAGTGCTGAATTGGATGGTAAAACACACTGCCATAGTTATTAACAAAGGAAGCAAATACATAGTTCAACACATGAAACCAGTTACATAATTTCCTAAAATAAGGACACTACCAAAAGAAAGATAAAATGAACA